ATCAGGAGAGCAGACAGTCAAAGTACAAGAATTCAAACAAACACAGAGATTCTACTTACAGAGCAGACACAGCACAGATGTTTCCTTCATCGTCCTTCTCACTCATTTGAGCTTTTTTCATTTCTGTCACTGACACCAAGTAAAGCCCGCCCTCTTCCTCTGAGCACGTATTCTTCCTCCATCTGTACAGAGTTATTGGTGGATTTCTAACCTCTTAATGATTCATGTGATAAATTTATTCCAGAATATGAACTTAGACACTCGGCAGTTCCTCTTTTGTTGCAAAACCTTTAAAATTAAGTTGTTTTTTTAAGTGTAACACAGAAACACATAAAACCTTTTGTGCTTTCAAAAGTTTAGAAACCAGCAACGTTGTTTTGACATAATTTGAGGTTAACTGAGATGATTGAATTGAATGAATTGACATTTGAATGCAAAACATGAGTTTCTCTGTGATAATCAATAAATTACATTTATGACTTCATTCACAAGAAATCAATTAAAAATATCATTTAAAACGTTGACTCTACTTCAGTCTGCTGTCAGTGTTGTAGCTTAGTCAATGAAACAAACTACAACCATTATAACCATTTAGTGGACGTCCCCTGAGGCAGCATGGTGATGCTGTTGTCTGACTGGAAGAAGGTGCTGGGTTTGAATCCAGCCTCCATCTTTCTGTGTGGCGTCTGCGTGGTTGTTTCTGGGCACTCTGTTTCTCCCACAGCCCACAGTCAGGCAGTTAGATTAACCTGTGAGTCTAAATTGGTCATAGATGTGAATGTTTGTGTGTCTGTGTTAGACACAAGACTGATAGGAGACGTGCAGAGTTTATCCAGCCTGTTAACCTGTGGTAGCTGGAATATAATGAACACCATCCTCCCACATGGTTTATATATGACCACTAGAGGGAGATGTTGGACTTTAAATACTAACATTGTTATTTTATTTTAATTTATTTAGGACAGTACATGTTAATGAACATAAATGTAAAAAAAATTCCATTAATATAAAAATACCAGATTATAGCCAAGGGCTAATTTCCATCTTTTGTCCATAAAACATAAAAAAATAGACATAATAATTCATAATTCATTCATAATAAAAACTCCATCACCAAACTCACACATACACACTATTCTATTCCCAAATAAAACATTTAAACTATATACAACTTATACATGATCACACACTTGATTTG